CCAGGAGTCACATTTCTGAGGTCAGAGGCAAGTGATTTTAAAAAGTCATGAGGATGGTTTGCGTGTGGAATGAACTTCCTGAGAAAGTGGTGGATGTGGGCACAATTACAACGTTTAAAAGACACTTGGATAAATACATGAATAGGAAAGGTTTGGAGGGATATGGGCCAGGAGCAGGCAGGTTTTGTTTGGGATTATGTTTGGCATGGACTGTTTGGACCGAAGAGTCTGTTTCTGTGCCGTATGACTCTATGACAGAACCTCAAGCATTCTTCTCTGGATTATGACCCAAGCTACTTGCAAATTGGTTTAGGGATAAGCAGATCAGCGAGGCAAACATGTAGCTGAAGGATTGATGTGAGAAAGAATGGTTCCACTTAATGGGATACTGTCACCAGTATTGGAACTGGAAGGATAGGCTATGTCTGAACTGGTATGCTAGTGGAAAGGATGAATAAGCCCGTCACTTTAAAGCAGTCAATGGAACATTTTATTGAGGTGGAAATGGTCCTACAATTAACACTTTTGAAAAGAAACACAAGGACCTGAATTAACAGTCTGTTATTGTACTTTAAGCACCACAAATAAAGGGATATTAAAAGATATAAAATAAATGAATTCAGAAACAACAAAGAAACATGATTTGATTTGATTTATTATTGTCAAATGTATCTAAGTACAGTGAAAAGTTTTGTTTTGCATGCAGTACAGGAAGATCATACAGTGATTGAACAGATGTGCAAAAGGTGCAAAAAAAGCAAGATCAACATTTGATGTGAAATTTGAGAGGTCCATTCAGAAGTCTAGAGGACAAGTTACACCCAGAAATTGTTCTTTGTACAAAGTCTGAGGGTATAAGGAACAAATTACCATTGTAAATTCAACTTCAATGGTACAAAATGGTCCAAATTACAAAGACATGACTGCAAATCGATGTGCAGGTAGGAGAAAATAAACAGGCAGTAGCAACTTTGTGTAAAATTAGGAAATAGTAAAGGATTTATGATGGTACCTGGAATTGTGTGTAGATGTCCCAGTGTCAGCTGTGATGTGACTGAGTGTATAACTGCAGAATTACACAGGGATAGTCAAAGAATATTTATTTTAGTAAGGAATTTTAACATTCATGCAACTGAGGATAAGAAAACTAGTTCATGCTTTAAAGAAGATAAACATCTTGTGTGTATGTGTGTGTTTGTTTGTTCATTTGTTTGGGTTAGTTTTCTGCAACATAATGTCCTGAATCAACAAGGCAGGAGCTGGTCAGAGGTCATATTAGATTTAAATAACAACCTACAGACATGTAAACCTAATTAAATAGTGACCACAATATAATCGAAAGCAGCGTTTGAAAGTAAGAAACATAGAGCAACCACTAGAATCATAGATTCACACAGCACAGAAAAGGCCCTTCAGCCCATTGAGTCTCCACTGACATAACTACCACTAAAAGCACGTTAATCCCAGTTTCCTGCACTTGTCCCATATCCTTGAAAGTATGATATTTGAAGTACTCATCCAAATATTTTTTTAAAGGTTGTAAGGTTTCCAGCCTTTACTACCTTTCCAGGCAGTGCATTCCAAATTCTCAACATCTGCTGAGTGAAGAAGTTTTTTCCCCAAATCCCCTTTGAATCTCCTGCCCCTTACCCTAAAACGATGCCCTCTCATGATTGACCCCTCAACCAAGGGGAACAGCTGCTCTCTATTTACCCTGTCCATACCTCTCATAATACCCCCCTCAGTCTTCTCTGCTGTAAAGCAAACAACCCAAGCCTGTCTTTCCTTGGAGCGCAATTTCTCTAACCCGGCCAACATCCTGGTGAGTCTCATCTGTATCCCCTCTAGTGCGATCACATCCTTCCTGCAGTGAGGTGACCAGAACTGCACACAGTATTCCAGCTACGGCCCAGAGCAACGCTCTGTACAACCCCAGCATTACCTCCTTGCTCTTATGCTCTATGCCACTACTGATGAAAGGAAGTGTTCCATATGCCTTCTTAACTATCCTATTCACATGCTCTACCAACTTCAGTGATCTATGAATAATTACTCCAAGATCTCTCTGTTCTAAGATTGTTCTAAGATTCAAAATTTAGGTAAAGTTGACCTCAATGTGCAGAGTCAGAGACTGTTCACAGTAAACTGGGCAGATCTGTTAGTGGGTAAAACAACTGAAGCTTAATGTTCAAAAAAAATTTAACATGATACAAAACAGTTTATATCCCTAAGAGAAATAAACACTGCTTCCTAAAGAAACCATTCAGGGACAACTTAAATTAAACAGAGAAAGTATAGACAAGTGCAAAATGTAAGATATCTCCTGGCAATTGAGAAAGACACAGACAACACTGTTAGACTCAGCTGGAATATTGTGTAACGTTGTAGACGCTGCATTGACAGAAAGATGTGAATGCATTGGAGAGAGTGTGGAAGTGATTTACAAGAATGATTCCAGCAATGAGAAGCTTCCATGATGAGGATAGATTGAGAAGTGGGCAGTGTTCTCCTTAAAGAGAAGAAGGCTGAGAGAGGGGAAAGCTGATAGAGCTTTTCAAAATCATGAACAGGCTGGATGGAGCGGATAAGGAGAAGTTGTTCCCACTCATGAATAAGAACAAGCGAGCAGAGATTTATTGTGATGTGCAAACGAAACAAGGGTGTTGTAAGAGAAAAGCTCTTCGACTGAGCAAGTGGTTAGGGTATGGAATGTAATGCCTAGATAAATGATGAAGTCAAGTTTAAGTGAAACATCCAAGAGGTGTTGGACGATTATTTGGATAGGAATCCAAGGTGAGGGTATGGGGAATACAAGATGAGAATATGAAAATAAACCTGCAAGAGATACTAAAATAAACACAAATAATTTTTTACTATTAATTTGGAAAATTAGGGTGGTCAGAGCAATGGAAGCCCCTTGCAAATAGATTATGTTGAAATTGCTGATGAAAATAAGGAAATGGGGGAATGTTCAAAATTAACTTTGCCTCGATATTTACTGTCAGGAAAGAAGATAAGCACATTAGGATTTAGAATTAGAATTAGGTTTTATTGTCACGTCTACTGAAATACAAGGATACAGGAGAACAGTGTGAAACTGATATTGAATCAGAGAGAGGGACTCATCAAATGAATGGAAATAATTTAATGAAGAGTGACCAATTCCTTGGTTCAGATGATTTCCAAACCTAAGTTTCAGAAGAAGGAGGTGGCAACATTCCAACTGTAATTTTCCAAAGTTCTGTTCATTTGGGAGCCTGTTTCAGTTGGAAACTGTATATGTCACTCTGCTGTTTAAGGAAGGTAAGAGAGGGAAAGTACAGAATAAAAGACCAGTTAGCATTGCATTTGTTGTGAAGAAATCATTGGTATCTATAATTAAGGATAAAGTATCTGAACAGCATGAAGAATTACAGCCACCTTGGATTTGTAAAGGGTGGATCATGGTCGACAAAACTGATTGTTGGTTTTTGGAAAATGTGGCTGCAGACGGTCTCTGTGAATGCATTTGATAAGGTTTTTTTTTGTGAGAGACTGTTTACTGAAGTTGAAGCCTGTGAAACTGAAGGCAAATGATTGACTTGAATAGAAAGTCAGAAGAGAGACAAGAAGCAGGAGGCATAATAGACAGAGAGTCCACATGTGACCAGAGTTGACCTGCAGGGCAATGTTTTGCGGCCTCGGTACTCTATTTATTAATAACTTAGACGATGAGATGGAAAATTACTTGGCCAAGTTTCAAGGTTCCACTCTGAGATCTGACTTGTCCAACGTTACCATCAGCTGGGATTACAACAGAAGGAAAACCTGAGTATGTAAAGTAAGAATGTCACGAATTGGGATGACCTAAAGTTACTTGGCTTACAAAGGACAGGTCAGAAAACTTGGTGCTATTTCGTTCTGCTCAAGGGCATCAATGGTGAAAAACTTAAGCAATGACCCAGGAAGCCATTCAGTTCAAAGATGCTTAGGGATACCAAGGTTGCCCAAATCCTATGAAAGAATTTTTGGAAATAATGCTTGCCACGTCATGCAGTTTATGTTTTACTCTAGTTTCAGGCTCCGTGACCCTTCTTCAGAACTACCTGAAACGTTAACTCTGCTTTCTCTCCACAGACCTGCTGAGTTTTTCCAGCAATTTCCATTTCTGTACCTCAAAAAAAAATCTCAATGCACAGCATACTGGAGTCACATTCTTCAGTACTGTTACAAACCATAGAATAATTATGACTGTACCAAATCGATGCAAGATCGAATAGAAGGGAACAGCTGACTGTTGTAATGGATGGTATGTTAATGAGGCAAGTCCATAAATCCTGTTGGGACAGATGTGTCCATGCCTAAATCCACCGATAAGCTTTTATTTGCATCATTTACTCTGCTGATAGGCTTATAAAATCTTAACAGCTCAACTGTTTAATTTAAAAAATAGAGTTTAGTTATTTTGCCTTGACCAAGCAACTGATATGCTTGGCTAAAGAGAAACACAATTGCAATCAGCTTCATATCTCTGTGACAAAAGAACATCCTGTCTTTTCCAAAGCAAAAATTATTTTTTTCCTGATTGTCTTGAACGTCACCCCTGTATTCCAGAAACACCTCAATTCACGATGTTGTCGGGACACACACCAGAATTATGAAATGTTTTCATGTTTCTATGTGCGTTTGCTGTGACAAGGCTGCAATACCAGAAAACCCTCAGAAGTGAATGAGATGGGGAAAATTCAGTTTATGTTTAAAAACAAAGTAATTGTCTTTGGTATGGAGATGTGATCGAAACCATTTGAGTGAGAATGCCTGAAAGGCCACATTTGGGAACTGGTGGTGCAGATATCATCCTCTGAATGTGACCTTTGCTACGTGTGAGGGGGTTGAAAGAGGCCCAGCATCTCCAATGGGTTTGGAACCTCTGGTCTAGTGAGTGTCCTGCCCCACTGAAGGAAAAGCCATCTCTCTTATTTTACCTTTGTCTTAGTGTTCACTCCTTTTCTGTTTTTCAGCTTCAGAAACAGTTACTGGAACTGGATGAGGATGACCCTTGCTACGAATTTCGAAGGGAGCGATTCACTGTTCATCGCACTCATCTCTACTTCTTGCACTATGAGTTTGAGCTATCTGCTGAAAACACTGAGGTTACCCTGGTAGCCCAGCTCTCAATGGACAGGTCAGAAAACTTGGTGTTATTTCGTTCTGCTCAAGGGCATCAATGGTGAAAAAGAGCAATTGCCAATCTTTCAAGTATCCTCCATCTCACAGTATTGATTGGCACCTCATTCCTCATGACAAAAAACTATGTCAACAATTCACCATAAGTCCCTTACATTCACCAAACATCTCACCTGTCTTCAATCAAGTTCCTGCTAACTCTCTGAGGAGCAATCCAGTCAATCCCATTCCCTGGCTCTATTCCCATAGGCCTGCAATTTTAGTTTCTTCAAATTTAATTTGAGATTATTCATCATCTCTGCCACCGCCCCAGTAGGCAGATCACTTGCTGTGTAAAACACTTCCTCTTTAGAGCCTTTCTCTCCTCTTGCTCGAAACATTAAATCTGTGTCCCTTAGTCTTTCCACCATGAGCTAATGCAGACAGCTTTTCTGTGTCTACCTTAACCAAACCTGTGACAAGATTATAAGACGTAGGAACAGCAAGGGGTCATTTGGCCCATTGAGTCACTCTACCTTTCAGTGAGATCAATTGGGTAATCCTCAACTCTACTTTCCTGCCTTTTTCCCATAACCCTTAATTCCCTTCCTGGTTAAAATTCTGTCTGTCTCGGCCTTGAATATATTTAATGACCCAGCCTCAACAGCGCTCTGTGCTGAAGGATTCCACAGATTCACTATCCTCTAAGAGAAGAAATTCTTCCTTATCTCTGTCCTAAGTGTACCACCCCTTATCCTGAGATGACACCCTCTGGTCCTAAACTCTCCCACAAGGGGGAACAGCCCTTCTGCATCTACACTATCAAGTCCCTGAAAAATCTTTTATGTTCAATAAGGTCATGTCTCATTCTTCTAAATTCCAATGAGTACAGGCCCAACCTACTCAACCTGTCCTCATAAGACAGTTCCTCTAGACCTGGTATCAGTCAAGAGAATCTTCTCTGGACTATCCCCAATGCCAGTCCATCTTAGATAAGAAGCCCAAAACTGTTCTTAGTATTCCAGCCGTGATCTAAGTAGTGACTCGCATAGTATTCACAAGACCTCTATTTCCTTTGAAATAAAGGCCCCCATTGCATTTGCCTTCCTTATTACCCACTGAACTTGGACGCTAGCTTTCTACTGTGGACGAAGACTCCCAAATCTATCTGTTCCATAGCTTTCTGCAGTCCTTCTCCGTTTAACTAATGTTCAGCTCCACTATTTTATCTGCCAAAGTACAGGACCTCACATTTGCTTCTATCAAATCATCCTGAAACCTTCTTTTCTCTAAGGCAAATGACCCCACATTATTAGGTCCCCAACCTGGCCTTCTAGCTAAAACCCTGCACCTCTGGAACCATTCTCCTAAATCTCCTCTGCACTTTCTCTGGGGTCCTCACATCCTTTCTAAAGTGCGGTGACCAGAGCTGTACACAACACTGCAGTTGTGGTCTAACCAGAGCTTACTAAGGTTCAACATAACTTCCTGCTTTTGTACTTAAGCTTCTTATTACAAACCCCAAGATCCCATATGCATTAACACGTACACTTTCATTGCATTTCTGCCAACTAAAAAGATGTATGCACGTCCAAGTTCTCTTGACCCTACACATTGCCACCTGCTAGTCAGCACTTATCCCACTTTTAAGGTCATTTAACTCAACTGATGCAGAGGCTTGGCCACTATTCGGCAATGGTGGGTTACAGCAGGTGGAGATTTGCTGGGGTTCCCACACTTGATCAAAATCCTGTGATGCCCATCAGTGTGGTGATGCACATATAGTCAAGGAGTGAGAACATCGTTGTACAATGCCTCGCCCTGTAAAGTACGCTGTTGTCTGCCTTATCTGTGCCTCGACCTGAATAATGACCAATTGGCCAATTTTACTAGAAAGTGGGGTCCGATGGAATTCCTCTCACCGAAAGCCAGCAGCTTCAGGAAAGGAATAAATGTACCAGGGAGTCAGAAATCTCCTCTTATAGTTCAGCAAATTTTATTTCCTGAGGTATATGATGCTGATTTGGCCCCTTGAAGTGAGAACATTTCTCACCTGCTTGTATTTCTCTTCTATCCTTTGCTAAGACATTTTGACCTCCTGCGTTTCTCCATCAGACCGGAAAGCAGGATGGAATAGTCTTTCTCTACAGCTCTGTAATTGTCAGGAAAGGTCAACTCACCATAATGTTACCAGGCAGGAGGGCCGTGCTCTCATTGCAGAGAGTTGACCAGTGGTTGTATAATCTGAGGGTCGCCATATAAGGGGAGAGGTTGAGAAGGAGCATCCTTCGTGGTAACCTCAGCTGGTGCGGGAATTGAACCCACAGTGTTGGCGTCAAACCAGCCGTCCAACCAACTGAGCTAACCAACAGCCTATAATTGCTAGGAGCCTGAAGACTGCATGCAACCGGGTACACTTTTCCTCAGCTCAAAAAGCAAGGATTAGCACAGCCACCTGAGACTCGGGGTTTGGGACCTTGGGTCTGGCCGTGCGTATGGTGCCAACAAAGCGCTGTCTGCTCTTCGATCCTTATAGTTGCCCCACAGAATGATGAAAATGGATCCTGTTGTTGGGAGCAGAGGGTGAGGCAAGCACAGTCTCAGAACTGTAGAGCACAGAAGGGAGCCACTTGGTCTTTCTCACCTCTTTGAAGAAGCTATTCAATTAGTGCACTCCCCATTACCCTGCAGCAGTTTTATCTTTTCGGGCATTAATCCAGCTCTTCCACGTTGTGAGATACCACAACGCGCAGGCAATTTGTTCGATTAATTTTCTACCAGATGCGACATGCTAAATTCTGTTGGGGACCAGCCTCAACTCATCTATAATAGAGATAACAAGGTGTAGAGCTGGATGAACACAGCAGGCCAAGCAGCATCATAGGAGCAGGAAGGCTGACGTTTCGGGCCTAGA